AAGGACTGACTGACACAGGGGAAATTATGAACCTCCAATTAAATGTATTCACATATTATTCAAACAGACATAAATATTATTCCAGATTAGATTATATGAAAAGATGGAACAAGATTTAGCTAAGCATTTTAGATCATGTGGCAGCAGTAAAGATGGCATTTTCAAAATTGATGTATTTATTTCAAACTCTCCCAACAGATATTCCTGACAAAATTGACAGAAATAAATCTTATTATTCTCTTCAGATCAACATATAACAGAATAAAGAGAAACATTTGCTATTTGCCACAAAATAAATGATGAGGTATCCCTTGCTTAAAAATATATCATCAAGCAGCCCAGTTGGCACATATAATTTCTTTTTATAATGAAGGATTCCAAAAAAACAATTGGTAGAGATGGAAAATATTCATTTTGAGGGTAAGAATTTACATTTGTTTCTTTTTTCCCTAATACAGCTTTATAAATTAGGACTTCAATAACAATTTTACACAAGTAATGTGCTGAATGCAGAGGACAAGGCTATCAGAACTCATTCCAGGCACCTCACTTCTAACTCTATTGGTAACATACCCAAATTATAATGATTGACCTGTACAACTGAAATTGTGGAAAAAGAAAGGTCTTCTCTTTTGAGGAGCATTTCCTCCATTTATATTCCACAGTAAGCATTTGTAAACCATAATCAAGCCAAAAACTTAGAAAAAGTGATACCTGTAGTGCCTAGTTCAGTATCATCCCTTTCAGTTTCCTGTCGCACCTATTGGAGTTTTTGTGTAATCTCCTCTGACACCCCCATTTGAATCTCCTCTAATTCTTTGAATTTTTGTAGAAATTCCCTTGCCTTCTGGACAGAATTCAATTGAAAACTCTGCTGTTTAAAAGTAAAAATCACACCTTCCAATTTGTCCCATCAAAATGGGATCTTTTTCTGCTTTAACCTCTCAGTCAAAAAGAAAAACAAAAAACAAAAACAAACACTCTCTTTTCCCTTAGGCAAAATTCTGATAGGAATTTCTTTCAGAACAATTATATCTGTATTATCAGTCTTCAGTCTTGTATTAAAATGCTGCTGCAAAGTTTGATCCTTGTCTTCTTCCTGACAAAGTGCACCAAAACATCCTTTGGAACGTCTCTTATTCTTGAATGCCTTGGAATGCCTTGGAATGCCTTATTCTTGAATGCCTTGAATGCCTTATTCTTGAATGCCTTGCCTTATTCTATATACTTTATCAATTTCTGCCTCTGTTTCCTCCTCATCCCAATCCAAAAAAAATTGCTAAGACTTCAATAAACTTTTCTCTAATATCTTCATCAGAATCCTCTGGGATTGCTCTAAATCTCAAACAAAATTCCTTCTGTATTGTCGAAGGCTTTCACGGCCAGCATACGATGGCTGGTGTGGGTCTTCCGGGCTGTATGGCCATGTTCTGGAAGTTTTGTTGAGCTGAGTCTCAACCACCAGGACATGTGAACAGTTCACACAATGAACTTGCTAATCACTCCCAGCAGCCCCTCGTTAACAATTCAAAAGAAAAAAAACCCCTGCCTAATCCCCAGGAAGATACACACAGATTCTGACCCAAAAACAAGCAGCCGCTGAGTAACCCAACCCCCAC